GTCACCCTGTGTGAGGCAGGCCACTTAACAGGCCAGGCCATCGGGAAACCCCCCGGTCCTCCCGATGGGCAGTCCGGGACTGGGTGCAGGAGGCGTAGAGCGAGGGATCATTGTCCACAAGTTAATCGATCGCAGATGGCGTCGTGGTCACGGACGAATAAAAAAATAATAATAATAATTAAAAAGAAAATCTGCTTACAGTTCTGTTTCATATGGGTGTTGAAAGATGTATCCATAGATCTCCTCATGTTGCTCCCAAAGTGCTCCAGATTGATGCTTTTAACTTCAATATTTAAAAAAAAAATATTCCCGGGGGATCATGCCCCCGGACCCCCCTAGAGGAGGTTAGGTCCCCCCCCACTTAAATCATGTTCACATGGATAGGATACTAAATATATTTGCACACATCTTGTGTCCATATCTTTCTGTTTTGGTGGTCATGCCACAACCGTGCATGTGCATGCATGCGTGAGTCATGGTAAGATATCTGGATTGGTTGCTTTTTCTTTGCACAGCATGAAAGAAAGGCGAAATGAATGGGCTGTGATTTTAGTTTTTTTAAGCAGAGGTTGAGTTAAATCATTTGTACGGCCCTCGGAGGATGTTGTAAAAATTGAAAGGAAAAAGGTTCCCCACCCCTGCCGTAAATAATAATAAAAACCCTTGATTTATAACTTAACATCTCTGTCTCCTATTGATCTGAGTATATTATAAAGAATAGCCAGTTAATTGAAGCATTATAGCACAGGCCTTTGTCAGATGGTATACGCTGTTTTTTTTCTGCTTCGAATAGTTCTCTCTTTTTTCACCATACCTGTGTTTGCATCACTGTTTATAGCTTGCAATTAATGGAAAACATTTGATGTTTTACTTAGAAAAAAAAAAAGAATGATTGTGAAAATCAGTTTGAGCGTTTGTCCTGTAGGTAAAAACAGGCTCTTGGTAAGCAAATGATAAGGTAATTCAGACTTTCATTATGTAAGGTGGTGTGTGGCTGTTTGATAAGCAGACTTTACATAGTGTAATTGTTTATGGTGAAGCACGACAACACAATCATAACATTTTGTTAGAATAATTATTAATATTTGACTTACTTATATTTTCATTTGCGTTGAGATTGGGAACTCATGTCTGATAATCTTTGCCAAATCTTCGGAAACTTTCATTTTTCATCGTTTTGAATATTTTTATTTTGAATCATTACATTTAGAACAATTCATCCTTGGGTTGCATTGTATACCACATGACTTTAATGCAAAATGCATTGCAGGTTTTTCAGATTTAAATTAAAGCACTTTAGCTTACTTTGTCAAGTGTATTTCTTGTTTTTTTGTAATGACACCTGCAGACAATTTACTTCAGAAACATTTTATTATCAATTATTAAAAATCCATATGAAATATTTAATTAGTATAAATAACACACACTTTATAAAAGACAGTTCCAGAAATGCTGCTCACATTACACTTGATATATCAGAGAAAGCTTATTTCCAGTATCACAGACAGCATTAACAGCATAGCTTCCTATGAAAAGGTCCTGTATCTTTAAGACAAAAAGCCACTTAACACTGCCCCCAACTGATAATTATAATAAAGCACAGAAGAATGTTTAAACATCATCTAAACACTGTAGAAAACATCTATAAAAACATTCATCCTCTCAGTATTTACATTTTTACACTTAGCTTATTTAACTTAGCCTTAACTGTAGCTTAACATACATTTGAATGTTGAATCAGTCTAACCTCTGTCATTGTGCACTCACATCGTGGTGGGTGCGGTGGAAGTCAAATTAGTTGTATTCGTAAGATTTTCCCTGCACACCACCAGGGGAGCATTACATCACCGTTTTGTAACTGAGATGACAGAGTCGGAGAGGCACATGGGTGCAGGACGGGCTTGCTGAGGGTTCAGTGTGTCACTGTCAGCTCGTTATAAAACTGCCATGGCCTAAGGAAGTCTTCATGACACATTGAGTTTATTCAGTCTTAAAGTTCCGACCCTGAAACACGCTTTTAAATCCGCTGCTTCCTCTCCCTTTGTGGGTCATATTCGCTGCACACCTCCATTCATGACCGCCTCCTCAGACTCCTGCATCCTTGCTTTCAGTGCAAATGATGTTAGCCGTTCCTCGTATGGTACTCCTAAAGGCACCATCTACATAATATATTAGAAATACAAGTAATTAGCACAACATATCCATACATTACATGTTATTATTAATTAACACAGCCGTTTATAACGATGTAAACGATTGCATTTGTTTACAATTCCTATTTAGACTTTTTTCCTCGTTTAAATTCTTTAGGAACATGTTATAGGCCTACATTTTCCTGACAGAAACATGGGCACCTTGTCAAAAGTAACATTTTAGCACACAAAGACCAACCAAATGAACTGCAGATAAAAAAAAACCTGATAAGATTGCCAAATAAAAAACATATTCATTATGAATCATGCGACCTAAATTAATTCAAAACTTAGTTTGCATTTGCATGCGCTTTTTGTGGATAATTACTGCTAACCAACGTACCCCTGCGTTACAGTAAACATACACGTTTTAAGACAGAATACTCACAAGACTAAAGACATAAAAATATACTAAATACTTGACAAGTGTAAAATCAGATCAATTACAACTTAAATGGATAGTTTAAAGAGCATTGTTCACGTGTTATTAAGTGTAATTTTAGGATTGCAGTCAGTGCAATTTTTCCCTCTGATATTTATGAAGAGCTGTGTTGTGGGATGGGAACATTTCCAGACTTTGAGGAGAATATAAATATATTTTTTTCTTTTTGACACAATAATCTGAAAGACAAAGAAACGTAGTTTTTTCCTCAACCAAAACACGATGAAAAAACGTCTAAGGTCTAGCCGGGCTCACAAATATTGGCCTTCCATGTTCTTTTCACTTTAATTAACCTCTTACAGCAGTCGTTCGAAACCAATTTAACACAACATAGCCCAAATTAAACTTTTTCAAGATAATATACCAGTTTTTTCTTCATATCTTAGTAGGCCTAATTGTTTTTGCTCTTTACAGTTAAAGGTTAGCTTATCAAATACAACATTAAGTGACACTGTTGACGCACCTGTTGCTACTGTGCCCGCCTCGCGCTCTACAGGTGTCGCCTCGCGACGACTAGCACGAGCACGGTGAGGTGTATAGCAGTGTACAGAAAGCTCTTCAGGTGTCCTTTCCCAGTCACCTTAACCGTCTTTCTGCAACAGCTAATGCCGCTTTCCGTCTCCCCGTCCGTCCAGCTTTTCTCCAGCTGGTCCCCGATCCTCCGCAGGCGAGAAGCCAATAGCTGAGCCACCGAGCACGGTGAGGGTAGGCGGGCATTGCAGGTGGTGTCACCAGGCTGGAGCAAAAGCTGGTCTATCGGTAGCCAGCACATCTTTCCCTGAAAGAACAACAAGTCTCTCTATACGTCTTGATAATATATGACCCTCCTTCTCTTCTCTCATCAAACCTTGACTGTGTTTGCGTCCCCCCTTTCTCTCCCTTTCTCTCCCCATCCACTGTATTATTCATTACATTGTCACATGGTGTGTGGTTTACATCATCTTTTCCCAAAAGAGAGATACAATGGTTCACTCTTGAATCTCTCCTGTCTGGTATGGTCCGATGAGTCTTTGTTGTGGGGTGCTCTGGGACATTGTGTTCTCTTTAGTATTTCTGTTTAATGTAAAATATGCAATTATTTTTGTTTTTTCACACATAACCAATAACATTAAATAAATGCTTTTCACATTGAAAACAATTGCTTGTTGTGGCAAAAGAAAAAAAACCACATATATGCCATGAAAATGTTCGAGTCTATAATAAAACTGCGGAATAGAAAATAAGCGGAACTTATGAACAGCAGCCCGTTGTCCCTCGTCGGACTGTTTATATAGAAGGACACGTGCTTGTTTTGCGCTTTGGTGTCGGTGCCGATATACCATTAAAACTGTTCTATATAACTAAAACATACATACGATAACGATTTTAACCCTGCAAATTTATATTTGATCAACTATGATTAAGAAATATGGCCGAGGAAGAACTTGCTGCGTTCAGGGAGAGTTGGAAAGAAGAACTAACGAGTAAAAACGACGAGGAGCGACTTGTTTGTGCCCCTTCCTCGGATGTTCCTAGTCAGTCAGGTCAGGGAGACTTGAGAAAAAGGTATTTTGAAGACTCAAAATATCTCAACACAGCCGATAGTACTTCAAAGCTAACAGAAAGGGAATGCACTGATGATGCCTCAGATACAGAGGATCAGCCTGAGTATGTGTCCATTGCACGGAGTTTGCTGGATGGGAGGACCAGTCCCCTGCTGGACAGGATTCAGGAGGAGAGAACCAGGAGAAAGAGGCAGTATCAAAACATGACCAACGCCTGCAGCAAATCCCTACAGCAAAAGCAACAGCAGCAGCCTCAGAGAAAAGTCAAGAAAGAAGAAGAGCTTTTGGATCAACTTATTCAGGACCTGGTATGATGATGATGATGATGATGATGATGATGATGATGATGATGATGATGGTTGACCAGAATCAGTATAACATGTTTGTTGTATTTCTTTCTTTTGCAGAATGAAGTCAACGACATTCCCTTCTTTGATATCGAGCTGCCGTATGAGTTAGCTCTGAAAATATTCCAAAATCTCAACTGTACTGAGCTGGGCCGATGTGCACAGGTAAGCTGCTGTGGTGGAGCTTTTGCTGATAAAAGCTTAAATCATATAACAAAAGAAAAAAGTGCCGTCATAAGAAAAAGACACCTGAAATCAATCGCTCTATTTTCACCTTATTTTGTTGAGGTTGATAAAAGTGGTGGATAAAACCAAATATTAACTAACCATTAAAGGCCGGCTTTAGACTAGGCCCCATTGGGGTATCGACATGACTCTAAGGGCTCATGGTGTGATAAAGACTGGAGACATACAAAACAGAAAACAAATCATATTTTCATTTAAAGACCCTTCTCACTAATAATAATTACAAAAATCACAACTCTGGCAAAAACTAAAAAGGTTGGGAATCAGAACTCTAGGCTAACTCTTTCAGAGTGTCAGTCTTGATTGGATGAAGGTATTGTTTAGTGTGATTTAGCTAAGGGTAACAAGCTGGGATGGTAGCAGTTTCTTTTTTTTAAGACACACCGCAATGGCTTTAAGAGGGGCAAACATTTTAGTATTTCTTATTTTTGAGTCCCTCTGGTAACTTGTGTTTCCCATAAATATGTGTCCCCTGAAAGTTTCAGGATTAAAGATTCTCTCTCTTTTTGTCCTGTCTGAAAATGAGCTGATAAGATTTTGGCCACTTTGTGATGTTAGCCAATATCCAACGAAGGGTAGCACCCGCCCACCTTATAACCTGAATCTCCTCCTAGAGGAACATTATGTTTTTTTAACCACATTTCTCTCGGAGTGGCATGGCCAGCAGCAGCTCATTAGCATTTCAAGCTGCATACACAGAAACAGCACTTGTAATCTGCTTGAGGTGTTTGGCACAAAATACTGTTGTAGTATAAATGTAATGAACCTGTCTCATTTAAATTTGTTCTCAAATTGGTTACAGTATTATTTCCTATTATTAATTGTATTTTCTTTATGCTTACATTTCAAAGAACTAGGTTATTTAGAGTGGAGCAACTCTGATATTACCTTATCCTGGGCGGACACACACTGCACTCAGAAACAACAAGTATCTGCAGAGTCTTAGAAAAAAGTCCTGCTTACCCTTCTTAGATGGCCACCTTTGCCCTGAGTTTCAGCAGTTCCGTCCAGGCTTCAGGATCTGTTCAGAGACCCATCACTCTCCTGGCTGGGCTCGCAAATAAATGTTGGAGGAAATCTCGGTCTGGGCCAGTTGAAGATCCGGAACTCCTCAACACTATACCATCACATTCTAACAGGTTCAAAAGAAGTGGCTGGAGGCAGACAAAGTTCGATGCAATAGAACTTTTAGTTCGAGCAGACCCCGGGATCATACTGGCTAACCAAACATCGTTTTAGCATTTTATAGCTAAACCTTCTTGTTCCTTATTGGTTGACCTTGGTGAAAGATGACAAACCACCTCCCAGTTTCTTTGTCTGCAGCTTTTTCTGCAGACGTGCATTTATCTACATTTCCGCACTCGTGTCCCGTAGGATTGACCGCTTCCTGACCTCCACCAAGTTTCACCATCAAGTGAGGGGAGTTTCACCACTGCTCTCTTTCCCAGTTCTAACCTCGCATCATTAGCCTCAGGCCCTGTGAATAATAATTAACCTTAACCTAAAAGTGCCCTTTTTGTTCCACCTGACACACACACACACACACACACACACACACACACACACACACACACACACACACACACACACACACGCAGGTAAGATAAGTTCTACTCCAACAATACCAGAGACATGTTTTGTATATATCTGAGGCCTATAAAATATATTGATGAAAAATAATGTATTAGGGAACCTTTAACTTTCACTTCTGCCAACATGCAGAATTGCAGCATTTTTACCTTATGCGCTGTTAATGTGACAAGATGAATAAATGACATGTTGTGTTGTACAGCACGTCATGGTGCACAGAGCCAACTTGGCAGTCCACCGAGCTCGTTAAGCACAAATCAATTAAATGACGCATGCTGGTAATATATTCTGACTCATTCACCATGGTTACACTGTCCCATCTCCTCCTAGGTGAGCAGGGCATGGAGAGTCCTTGCAGAGGACGGCGTTCTGTGGTTCAAGATGTGCAGAGGGGAGGGCTATCATCAGGAGGCCAGCGTGTCTGACTCCCCCTGCTGGAAGAGCACGCTGCGGGACTGCAGGAACTCGGCCAAGACCGTGCGCTCCAACTGGAAGGTGGGCTTGAGCTGCTCTGCTGCAGCCAATCAGAATCACACAAACTCAACACTGGCACTAGAGTTTGTCTGGGGAAATAAGGGCACAATTTAATGAACATCACCAGTAGAAAACATTTATATCATTTATGTAAAAATAAAATACATATTGGTATGTAAAGGTAAATAAAAGTAGTTTAAATATTTAATACTTTTTGGGCCTTCTTTGGCCCTTTTTGGACCGCACAGAGGCAGACAGGAAACATGAAGACAGAGGGTTATGACATACCACAAAAGGTCCTAGGGTCAGAGTCTAAACCAGGAACTTGCATGTCATGCACTTTAATATACAGTTGCAAGAAAAAGTATGTGAACCCTTTGGAATTACCTGGATTTCTGCATAAGTTGGTCATAAAATGGAGGAAGGCTCAGAACATTGCTGCACGTTTGAAGTTTGCAAAAGAGCACCTGGATGTTCCACAGCACTACTGGCAAAATATTCTGTGGACAGATGAAACCAAAATTGAGTTGTTTGGAAGGAACACACAACGCTATGTGTGGAGAAAAAAAGGCACAGCACACCAACATCAAAACCTCATCCCAACTGTGAAGTATGGTGGAGGGAGCATCATGGTTTGGGGCTGCTTTGCTGCCTCAGGGCCTGGACAGATTGCCATCATCGACGGAACAATTAATTCTCAAGTTTATCAAGACATTTTGCTGGAGAACTTAAGGCCATCTGTCCACCAATTGAAGCTCAACAGAAGATGGGTGATGCAACAGGACAACGACCCAAAGCACAGAAGTAAATCAACAACAGAATGGCTTCAACAGAAGAAAATACGCCTTCTGGAGTGGCCCAGTCAGAGTCCTGACCTCAACCCAATTGAGATGCTGTGGCATGACCTCAAGAGAGCGATTCACACCAGACATCCCAAGAATATTGCTGAACTGAAACAGTTTTGTAAAGAGGAATGGTCCAAAATTCCTCCTGACCGTTGTGCAGGTCTGATATGCAACTATAGGAAACGTTTGGTTGAGGTTATTGCTGCCAAAGGAGGGTCAACCAGTTATTCAATCCAAGGGTTCACATACTTTTTCCACCCTGCACTGTGAATGTTTACATG